GCCAATGTCATTATCTGGGCCTATTTTTTTTCAGTTATGATGTGCTGTTTCTCTGGATGCCATTATTTGTAAATTCACATTTGTTACAACATCGAGTTTTTTGTCATTTGGTGGTATTATAAGAGGCGCTACATTCGTAGATGCTTCAGATAAAGCATAAGCCCTACTCGCGGTTCTATACCAAACATTGCTTTGTGTGGTGACTGTTTAATACCGGAATGAAGTGCCCGATTTTTCATAAGCTGTAAAAACCGAATAGTGTTTGATCAATTTGTAGTATCGTGATCTTGCATCCATGAAGCCAACATTTTATGTCTTGTCATCATATGTCTTGGTTAGCCCTTTCAACAGATTCTTGGCTTTGACTGTGTCTTGGCTTTCCATGGACCAGTTTACTCTTGGACCAAAATGAAACGAGTTCATTTATGACAGAATTTACAAATTCTCTGCCGTTATCAGAGTGTAAGATGCAAGGTGCACTAAATGTCAAAAACATATCAGTCAACTGATACGCCACCTCCTCGGCTCTTTTACTTTTCAGTGCACGCATCAAAACAAATTTTGTCAAATGGTCCTGATAAACCATTATAAACTTAAAATCCCCGATCTTCTTGAGTTTGCATGTCGATAAGATCGACTTGGCAACGGCTGTTCATTTCAGAATTTAGTGTAGATTTTGAAACAAGTCCTTTTGATCTTGATACTCTTTTTACGCTGACAAGTTTCGCACACAGAGAGGTAAATATTTATCATTTCTAAATTTATGTTCGCATATTTTCGTAAAGTTTCATTTTTAAGTCTATCACGACCACCATGATCAAAAGCCACATTAGCTGCTTCAATTATATCAAAAATTTTATCTACATACACGTAGTATTTCATGGGCTCCTTTCTATTCACTAATGTTCGTATTCCACATATATTAATTACCTTAAATCGCTTCAGTCTCCTGTACTGTTTCTGAGATTTCTGAACAGCTACTTGTGATTCTTCAATTTCGTCCACTAAATTGTCATAGGATTCTTTTGTCATAATATAAAAGTGGTCCTCTATTTTTACGTGATCGCGAATCGCTAATAACCGGCTTAAAAACTTCCATCGCGTTCCCTCATTTAAGTGTCATGACAATTGCGCTTGAATCAATCTATACGTGCATATCAGAATAAAAATAAAGCGGGACTGAATGGAGCGAACGCACAGCGCGCGGACGGCGGTCGGAAAGGGATTCCCCTGCACCGCCCCGTAACCTCGGTCGGAACAGCTTTAACTGACTCGCTTCGGAAAAACGCGTTTTGTCTAGTAAGAATTCGTTTTACCTGATGTTCAAATTTGAGCATTAGTAAATTCTAGTTATAATAAAGGCATTAAATAAAACATGTTTAACTAGGGAAAACGAGTTCTATCTAAAAACTGGTTTTAACATATATATGGTTTATAATGTGTATTTAAAAGTAATAAAACCATTATAAAATTAAGCTAAATTAGGTTCATTAAGGTACAATCATCAGCATCAGCTCGAGTTACAAAACCGTTTTCAGTGCCTAGAAGACTGCAATGAAGTGGACGATATGAATGACAAGCTCGTGGAAACTGTCCATGCGGTCGGAGCTAAGTTCTGCAAGACCCGCCGCAGAAGAACACAAAAACTCTCCGATCACACTCTTAATCTCATGGCTGTTAGACGGGAGATGAAGCTACATTCTTCAACAAATTTGACAGCAACAGGCAACTGAACAGACAGATCTCCAAATGCATGCGGCGGGACTTACGTAACTTCAATACAGCTTGTATTGAAGAAGCGATCGAGCGGAACTAAGGCTCCAAAGTCTTTGCCAGAGATCTGTCTTTCAGAAAGAGCCAACTGTCAAAACTGAAGACCGAGTGTAGCAGCATCGTTTCTGGGACACCTGAGATTTTGAGTGAGTATGAGGTTCTATGAGCAGCTGTACACGTCATCGTTGGAGCCACACGCAAGTGTGACGATCCAAGAGCGAGTCTTATCCGCCACTATTCCGAAGATATCCCGGACGTCAGTCTGAGCGAGATTAGAATGGCTCTCCAGCACATTAAAAACGGCAAGGCCCCAGGCGAGGATGGAACTACAGCGGAGCTTCTGAAAGCGGGTGGAAGACCGGTACTTGAAGTCCTTCAGAAGCTCTTTAATTCCATCCTCCATGGTGGCATTACACCGGAGGCGTGGAGCAGAAGTGCGATGGTCTTGTTCTTCAATAAAGATGACAACGCTCTCTTGAAGAACTACAGACCGATTTCCCTTCTGAGCCGCGTCTACGTGCTGTTTTCGAGAGTCATTACGAATCGTCTCGCGCGCAGACTTGACGACTTCCAGCCTCCCGAACAAGCCGGTTTCCGAAAGGGCTTTAGCACCATAGACCACATACATACCCTTCGGCAAATTGTACAGAAGTCCGAAGAGTACAATTTGCCACTATGTCTCGCGTATGTAGACTATGAGAAAGCCTTTGATTCTGTCGAAATTTGGGCGGTGCCGCGGTCCCTTCAGCGGTGCCAAGTTGACTGTCGGTATATCGTGGCGCTGAAGTGTTTGTGTTTGTGTTTGTTTGAGCTACGATGGCTATCCGAGTACGAAACCTATCCAAGTGCAGACAGGTGTAAGACAGAGTGACGTTATATCCCCGAAACTTCACCGCTGCATTGGAAGACGTTTTCAAGCTACTGGACTGGAAAGGATACGGTATTAATATCAATGGCGAGTACATCACTCACCTTCGATTTGCCGACGATATAGTCCTTATGGCAGAATCGCTGGAGGACCTAAGCACTATGTAACCGACATAGCCCAACGGATTAGTAAGCTGAAGTGGCAGTGGGCCGGCCATATAGCTCGAAGAACCCACAAATGATGGGGAAGAAAGGTTCTAGAGTGGCAGCCTCGTATCGGTAGGCGAAGTGTAGGGCGAACCCCCACTAGATGGAGTGACGACCTGGTGAGACATGCAGGAAGTCGATGGATGCAGGTGACTCAGGACCGTCCTTTGTGGCATTCCTTGGGGGAGGCCTATGTTCAGCAGTAGACTTGTGAAGGGCTGTAATGATGATGATGATGATGAAGGTACAATAGATTTGATAGCGGTACTGAGTTCCATAGCCACTTGAGCAATCTTCGAAAGAATATACACGACAAAATGACGATAACCTTAAAATAAAAACATTCCAAGTATGTTTTGTATGTAACTGAAATCTGTAATACCTGTACAATGTCATGCAATATTAAGAATCTAATAATAATAAAAAAATCGACGAATATCAACAACCGATTTTCACAATTCGAAATGCCTTGAATGACATGACTGACGAGGGGCGAAAATTGAATAGGATAATATCATAATATGATTTTTTTTTTTTTTAAAGTTACTAAAGCCCCATTTCATTCGTATAGAACCCGCAAACAAACCGCACGAAGGGCATTGAGTCCTTCGACCACGCCTTAATATTAATTTATCACCGGACATTGTGTCCTTGTAATTCCACAAATGTGACGCGTCTTCCGCGAGTACAATAAGTCGAGAGTCGAGGAGTGTGGTATACCATAACTGATCCAGAGTGCGCGCGCCGGACCACGTGGTGACCTGCAGTTAACTGACCCCCCGGGAGGAAGAAGGCGAGGCAGCCCTTCACAAGGTTAGTGCGTGCATTCCACTCTCATCCATTTTCCTTGCTCTGCTCGTTGTATGTACCAAATACAGTCCACAAGCTTTATCGAAAACTCATGTTACTGGCGCGTCCATTTGTTTGGCACATATATCCAAGAAACGATCTCAACTTATCGTTCGCAAACAACATTAAGCCATGTTGTATACCACTAATTTGAGTAGAAATATATTTTTTTTCAAAGCACTTTCTGCGATGTAAAACGCGGCGTAAGGAAAACGTTACGTTATGTTAATATAAAAATCAGAAACACGTGAACGTCGTGTTGCAATAGGTAGGTAACTACTATTTTGAAAAATAAATTAGCTCTAAACTCTTACATTAATTCACGTGTAACAATTTTTTAATGTTAGTAGTTAGTAAGTACCTACAGTGTAATCTAGTCACATGACTAAAGAAAATGTAGATGCAAGGGTCCATGAGATAAAATGGCCATTTACCATAATGTGTATTGTTACCTCGCATTTCTATCCTATTATTATAAAAATAAACTCCTGGTTTTCATTTAATTTAAACAAATCTTATTTTGTTTTAATTGTCATTTAAAAAAAGTAAATATGAATTTTTATAATTTAAAAAAAAGGTCTTAGTGTATCTGTATAGTGTAACTATAGAAAACGATGGAGAGATCCGAGATTTAACACCCGAAACGTCGGGAATTTAAAAGTTAAATTAAACGCGATAAAATCCGTAAAAATTAGTTTTATTTAATGTGTAGTCTTCGCGTAAATATAATCATTATAACATAATATGATAAGATAATTGACAATTTATCAAAAACTGCCGATCCGCCCGGGCTTCGCACGGGTGGTTTCTGGATCTCGACAATATTACCACCTACCGGGGCCAATTGTGAATCGTTTAGATCATCCAGGAACCCAAACACACACAAAATTCATCAAAATCGATCCAGCAGTTTTCGCGTTTTAGCGAGACCTAATTGAGCTGTAGATTGAAAGTTTAATTTAGTTTTTATTTTTAACGTGCCAAAAAGATTATTCTGGCCAAGTACCTATAAGCTCTTCCTTCGAAACGCGATAGTGGATAGACGTTACATACACTAAAATTAAAAATTCCATATTTAAAGTGCTAAATTAATATTGAAAATTCGAGCCAACTACCAGGCGAACAGAAAATAAAGAGTGTTCAACAAATGTGCATTAGTGACGCTGTTAGCAAAGGTCCAACATAAGTTGATATGTACACAAAGCTAGCCTACTTGTGAAGAGTGATCAAGATAAAGTGGTAATTATTCTATTCATTTACTGTTGTAACCACATAAACTTTAAACTAAAGTAACTTGATATAAAATGTCTAAGCTTATAAGATCACCCCCTGGACGTAGCATGCAACATACGTTATCGGATTCTGATGTATCCAGTATAGTTCCGACACCTGCTACACCGTCTTACATTTCTAAACGAAACAAAAGACAACGCGAGTCAAGCGACGAACAATTATCTTCATTTAAAGATGAAATTCGAAATATGTTGGATGAATGGAAAAATACACAAAAATCTCTCATAAACAAACTTGTCTCGGATATTGCAGAAATAAAACAGCAAAATATACAGATTCAGCGCTCAAATAAAGAAATTGAAAAAGCTCTTGATTTCCTTAATAATCAGTATGAAGATATGAAGAAGAAGGTTGGTTGTCTTGAAAATAAAGAAAATCAACATCTACATCAGATAGCCTCACTCACTCGAAGTGCAAATAGAAGATATGCATAGAGCTTCAAAGTCATGTACTATAGAAATAAGGAATGTACCTATACCTGCACAATCGGAAACTAAAGCTGGCTTGTGTAATATTGTCCAACAAACATGTAAGGTTATTAATGTAAATGTTCAGGAACCTACTAATAAGGATGTGTTTCGATTGAATAGTAAAACGGGAAAAACTACAATCGTCACTGAATTCACATCAGTTATAGTGAAGAACAGTGTCATCCAGGCAGCAAAAACGTTCAATAAACAACATCCTGATCAGCGTCTCAATAGTGCTATGATAGGATTCAAAGAACAAGTAAGGCCAATTTATGTATCTGAAGCTTTAACAAACAAAGGGCGAAGATTATTTTTCTTAGCAAGAAGCTACGCAAAAACTGAAGGCTACAAATTTTGTTGGACTAGCCATGGAAAAGTATATCTTCGTAAAACGGCTGAGTCACCTCATATTGAAGTCAAGGATGAGACTCAACTACTAGATCTGAAGAAACAGAACTGACTAGGCAAACCTCTAAATTCTTTATATTTACTTAATTTTTATTCTTTTTACGGTTATGTTACATTATATAAATATTTCATGTGTTCCTTTGTTGTCTATATTTACGTTATATTTCATTTTGGCATATTATACAGGTATACTCTCATTGCTATTAAAACCAAAACACAAACCATTTGCATCGGCTGTAATCGTATCAAGACTTGCAAAGTCAGGTTAGTTAAAAATAAGACATCACTTTTTATCTCTTCTTCTTACATAAACACTATGCTAACTATGTCCCAAGTTCCTTTAAGTTACATACGATCTTATAAACAATAATAACTTAACGAAAAACATAGACTAAATTAGAGCGGGTGCGTCTTTCTTGTGTAATCCAGAATCTTGCAACTCTCTTTTAAAATCGCAACTAGCAACGAACAATAATTTACTAATACTAACGCAAAATATCAGAAGCATCTCCAAAAATTTTACTGAATTTGAAATACTACTAACAAGACTAGATATAGCATGTGACATATATATATTAACTGAAACTTGGAATTCTAAAAGCGTACATTTCCGTCTCTTAAAAACTACAATACTCACTTTACAAAAAATAACAAAAATCAAAACGATGGTATCGTAGCGTACACTAAACAAAGTTATTGCTGTACTGTTGACGAAAAATTCTTAAATGATGCCACCTGTTTAGCTATTGAATTTAACAAGGACACGGTTGTGATAGGCATCTATAGATCTCCATCAAATAAAAACATCGATAATTTTATAATATCATTAAATAAATTACTTACAATTTACGCGAATTTTAGTAACATAATTTTAATGGGTGACCTTAACATAGATGTAAAACTCAATAATGAAGATCGTAACTCCTCAGACTACCTAAACTTACTAGCGATTCACGGTATTTTAAGTGGTCATACTTACCCAACTACAGCTCATAATTGCATAGATCATGCGATGATTAAAGCTAAACTCCCATCAATAACAATCGTTTTAGAGAGCCCTTTGACCGACCACTCAGCGGTTATAACGTGTATAAGCTTAAATTACAAAACTAGCGTATTAAAAAATAATGCTCACAGTAAAATTAACTATAAAGGAATTACTGAGGAACTTAAAACTAAAAATTTTGATGATTTATTAAATCCTAATGATGTAAGTTGGTCAGCCGAACAGTTGGTCAAAGTTTTAAATATTTCAATTTTAAATAACACACTTAAAATCTTACCACCTAGAAGAGTACGCTGTATAAAGCCATGGATCACACCTGGCCTTGTCCGTTGTATAAGGAATCGAGATAGAATGCATCTTAAATGTAAAACTGACCCTAATAACGTAATACTTAAAATTACTTACTCAAGGTACAAAATTATTGTAATAATATACTAAAACCCTTAAAAAGAAACTTCGAAAGAAATGAATTAAATAAATATGCTAAAAACCCAAAACTGAAATGGAAAATAATTGATAAAATAACTAATAGAAATATTCAGAAAGTACCACCCATTAATCTACTTAAAATAGAAAATACACCAGACGTTGCTCTAGACAAAATTAATAACTATTTTGTTAATGTTGCAAAAGAGTTATCTGATAAAATTACACTTGAAGGCAACTCAAATATTCCCAAATGTAAACCAGTACACACACCTGGTAACTTGATGGTTGTGTTAGAAACAACAGAGCAAGAGGTTGAATCTACACTAAGTTGATCAGATAGTGCAGTAGGTTGGGATGGTATTTCTTCAAATTTATTCAAAATTATCAAAAACATTATTGTCCCACCTCTAACACGTATCTTGAACTTGTGTATTAAAACAGGTACTTTTCCGGACGTATTTAAAATATCAATTATTATCAATAACAGTATCATCCTATCTACAAGGGAGGAAACAGAGAATGCTTTAATAATTACCGCCCTATTTCAGTACTCCCCTCCTTATCCAAAATCTTTGAAAAGATTTTGAACAAAAGACTAATATTGTATTTAGAAAAAAATAATATCTTATCCAACAATCAGTATGGTTTTAGAGCTGGTAGTTCAACAGCTGATGCAGTTTCTGATCTTACTGACTTTGTAGTTAGTCAAATAGATAGTAAAGTTAAATGTATTGGAGTGTTTTTAGGTTTGGCAAAGGCCTTCGACACAGTATCTATCCCAATTTTGTTGAGTAAAATGGAAAAAGTCGGTATCAGAGGGATGTCACTTGCTTTATTCGAGGACTACTTAAAAAACAGGATCCATAGGGTAACTATTAATGACTATTTTAGTAATAATGTTGCTATTAACTATAGTGTACCTCAGGGTAGTGTACTCGGACCAACATTATTTTTAATTTATTTTAACGATTTATGTAACCTTAAATTAGATAGTTGCAAAATTTTTACTTACGCTGATGATACTGCACTAATATTCTATGGAAAAAGTTGGGATGAAGTAAAGACTCATGCTGAATTAGGAACGCAAGCAACGTTACAATGGCTCAGTCAAAACTTACTTACTCTGAATATCTCTAAAACGAAATTTATGTTGCTTGCGAATAATCAAAATACACACCTGCAAAAGCAAAAGCTCAATTCAATGCAATTGCACATCTTTGGACCGAATTGACACAGTAAAATACTTAGGCGTAGTGTTGGATGAAAATCTGACATGGTGCCCTCATATCAATCAGTTAGCAGGGAAAACAAGAAGCTTGGTATACATATTCAAAAAACTAAGACACGTGACAGACTATTCTTTACTGAAGACTGTTTACTTATCATTGGCACAATTTATCTTGTCTTACTGTATTACCTCATGGGGTGGAGCTCATAAAACTCACTTTGAAATAATATTACATCAGAACAATATATATCTACTAAAACTACTCTAATTATAATAATTAAAGATTATTACACTTGTATAGCTACTAATAATAAAATATTTAACTAAGTGAAAGTATAATTTAAAACAAAAAATAAAAAACCTTTTAAAAACCATGAATTAAATAATTATATAATATGTGTATGTCTGTTCACTGTACATTGCATAACTTTTGTTAAATACCTGTAGAATTGCTAAAGTTATACATCGTGCCTCGTGACAACTATAATAATTTATTGTATTTTAAATTAAGAAATTAATAAAGTTCCTATAAATAGTAGTCTAACCTTTTATACGCATAATAATTAGTGTGACGGTAAACGCAAAAAAAGTGGTACCTAATGTATTTGCGAATTTGTAACGTAATAGATTAAGTAAATCATAATATGCCGTATACTTTTATAACTGCAAATAATGGTGTCATTGGAAGAGACTAGTGTCTAAGATACAGGCTCGGCCTAGTTTAGACGCTAGTGCATAAAATTGTATAGATAAGTTATAACTCATATCATATGTTCAAATGTCTTAAGGATAAATAATGTAAACCTTATTTTGTGCCAATAAATATTATTATAAGAGCTGTAGTTTGATAATTTGATAAGAATTGTAATTTATGAGCAACAGGGCAGATTTACTAGAAATATTAAAATATAACAACAAATATAAACAGAAAGCAAATATTGTAACAGAAAACGAATATTGAATACACAAAAAACTAAAACACACAAAATAATTACATATCATCAGCAACCATATAAATGCCCATTTTGTTCGCAGGCTTACTTCATATTTAGCTGTGTTACTGCACTGCATTAACTGCCTCCGTCCAGGCCATTCTCTCAAGCAATGTAAATTGATTCGTTGTAAATATTATCAACACATACATAACACTTTACTACATATGGAGACTGCAAGGCAAGGCAAGCTGCATACGGTTCGGCTACTACTCTACAAGGGCAGTCCAAAAATCTTGATGTCCTACACGCTATCACGGACTTGAAGAGTAACTCGACAAACAACTCGTTTTGACGAAGTTGAATAAAAGTTCACCTTCCAAAACAGATTCTTATTGAGAGTCCAAATCCAAAATCGTTCGATGCCTTTAAGTTTCGCTTTCCGACGAAGCTGACGTTAGATATTAAACCAAACTTGCAGCAGCAGTTCGAGCACGGATTAGCAAACGATCTTCAGCTACATCTCAACCGTGTCAATAGAACTGACACAGCAAAAGTATTGTGACGGATCCTTAATAAAATGGTAATAAAATTTACTGTTTTCTTAGTTAAATAACAAGTTGATGTTTGACTAAATAACTTTTTTGATTTTAAATACGTGAGTCTAAATATATGCCGGAGGCTGCTGTGATCACGACTAAATGTGGGTTTAAAGAACTTGTTTTTTTTTTTGAAAGCTTATGCCCCAGAAATATCAAACCTTACTAATATATATTCTAGAGGAGTTTCGGGATATGGTAAGGATGGTTTAAATTAAATGTAAAGAGAATGAAAGTATTATCATGCTAGAAAAATTAATTTTTAAAGGGTTATGGTTATGGAAGAGTACTGGGAACGTTTGGTGATGGATGTATAAATTAGAATGGTGAACGTCTCCTCACAGCATGTTTGGAAAGAAATTCATTTGTCATGAAATGTCTACGTGGGAAAGAGGAAAAGATAGAACCATAATAGATTTCAAAATTGTGGTTATAGACTTTACCAGGGTTTTATATAAAAAACTGAAGTGACAGTTACGAACTTATAATCCACTTGATGGTAAGTGGCTACTGTAGTCCATGAACACCTGCAGCCAATATCAAACATAAACATTTATCATAACATCGTATTTGTTTTTGTTCATAGATTGAAGAGGACTCTGGGAGAGCAATGCAAGAAACTTTTGCAGAGGACGAATTATCTGAGGGCATTTGTTCTGTACTACTTACAACTATGTACATCGAACCCGTTGGCGTTCCGCCCCCACTGTTCTCAATGGAACTTACGTCTTCCATGACACCGTAGACGCCGCTCATGAATGATTCAAATTAATGATATCATGCAATACATTGAATTAAATGAATAGGAAACAAAGGTTTGTTAAAAGAACTTTCTTGTGAATTACAAATATATTGTTC